CTTTTTCAGGCAGCAAGTCCCTGAGTGTGAGCTCTGCCCGCAGTCAGTCAGTCTGTCTGTCCGTGGCGATGCACACAGGCAGCAGCAGCACCCCCTTTTCCTTTGCAGAGCTCCCCAATCCTTTGCCCGGGGTGCACCCGGACACTGCCCGCTCAGTGCGCTTTACTGGAACGAGGGAATTGGGGTCCCGGGTCCCCCGGGCTGGGTGATGGTGCGGGAGCAGGGGGTGCCACCTGCTGTGTCCGGAGCCGGCGGCAGAGAGCGGTGTTCCCTCGCCGCTGGGAAGGGAGAGAAGGAGCCGCCTGCCCTCCAGCACAGCACTTTTCTCTCCCTGCCTGGCAACTAAACTCTCTAAAGCTATTCCTCGAGCTGCTGCCCATACGGGCAGACTGGGGGGCACCCTTACTGGGGACATCCCGCTGGCAGGTCAAGGCAACACCCACGCCATGTCGCTGTCCCAAAGTGGTGCGAGAGCTCGCAGAGGGAACAGCAAGCCTGTTTTACAAGGGATGGGCTTTAAGGGCTTTCTGAGTCTTTGCGAGGCAAGGCGTTGGTCAGCAGCCAGCAGTCATTATTTCGATGTTTTGCAATAAAAGGTAATAGAATAGTGATTTATTTCCCTGAGTTGACGTGGTAATGTCTCTCTCCATTATCCTTTCCTGACAGCCATGATTACAGTAAACATTTTCCCTGCGACGCTGTGGTAATGAGCTTTTAATAGAAAGATTAACCTGGCTTTAAATTGTATCTTGTGGAGGTGACCTGAGTCCCGTCCCATCTTATTTTGTGGCAGGAGGGTTCCAACTCTGTCTGCTTTCCCAACACAGACTTGCTGTGGTGCTAGAGGTCAGGGGCTTATTGAAACCTCACTCTTACAGGGTCTGTCACCTGTGAGTTACTTTGGAAAGTGGGTGTTAGCCAAAAAAAAAAAAGAAAAGGAAAAGTTAATGGCGTGTGAGATTTAAGGAGGTTGAGATTTCTGAGTGGTGCTGGAAGTCGTTTGTTGTGAGCCACTTTCTGGAAGTTTTAATAGATGTTCTTGTCTGAAACCAGACAGGTTTTGCTCCACTGCCAGCTCTGAAATGTCCCTTCTCTTTCCTTTCCCAACCCAGGTCGTTTACTTCCACACCTCCTTGAACCACACCAGCATCACTGCTGTTGTGGAAGTGGTGATGATGGCTGGGAAAGGGGACGAGGGCTCTCAGCATCTCTCCTGTGGCTTTGGGCTCATCCCCCTCTTCAGCAGCAGCTCAGAGGTGACGCATCCAGCTACGGAGGACCGAGCGTATGTGCCCCCTCGCTGCCGCGTGATGGGGCACGCTGGGATCTGGGGTGGCAGTGCGCACCGCATTGGGGACGGGTAAGGGTGGTCCTGGGGCTGCAGAAGCAAAGGCAGCATTTAGAAACCTGGAATTCTTCACTGCAGGGAAAGCAGTGGTGGGTTTGTAAGGGATGCCTCTCCTTTCCCTAAAGGGTGGGGTTTTTATCACAGGTGCGGAGTCGGGAGGTGTTTTCTTACTGTTGATCACAGACATTGTAGGAGATAAAGATGTGCTTCAGGGTGTATTTACTGACCACTCACCTGTGCTCTTTGCTTTCAGATTGAAGCTGTACCATGGGACACCACGTGCCTTACTGCACCCACGCTTCCAGGACCCCACGGAAAGTAAGTGGCAGCAAGACACTGCATCTCGCTCCTGTCTTGGCAGCATCTCTTATCCAAATGTGTTGTGTGTGTCCGGTCTCTGCAATACACGGTCTGTGCCCTGGCGGTGCTGAGCAGCCGTGCCTTGCTGCCAGCTGGGAAAGGCCAGGCTGGGCAAACCCAGGTTTTCCTTTAATCCCAGCGCATGCTTTCATGGGTAACGATTTCTTCACCAGCAGCACCAGGAAACTGTCTTCCCCCAGTTCCGGTCATCTTGGGATGTTTTCTCTTCTTCAGAGAACAAATACTTGACGGTGATGGAGAAGAGCTACCTCCAGTACTCCCTGAAGCCTCACCAGCCCCTAGAGACGATATTTCACCTCCTTCCTGAAAACCTTCTGATATCTGGGCTGCAGGCCATTCCTGGCTTGCAGCCGGCACGTGGAGACATGGGTAAGGGCTCCTTCCCTTCACTGCTGCCTGCCTTGCTCCTGCTCAAGGCACCAGGTTGCTGGGGAGGCTGCAGGCAGGGGGTGTCTGGGTCCTCTGATGGGTTTTCTGCAGAGCCATCCCTTTGCAAAAGGATCTCCCCTGCTCAGCCTGTCGGCGCTGCAGCCTTCGTAGCTCATCCTGAAAGATGTCAAAATGCCTTTGCTCTGTTCTCTCTCCATTGATTGCTTTGCTCCTGGAAAGCTGTGAGGGATAAGTCATGGCTGGTTTAATTACAGTTATTCAGTGGAGTCTTAGGAGAGGCCCGTGCAGCCTGTTTAAAGTCATCCTCCTTGGTGGCAGGACTCGGGATCGCTGGGGGTCTGGCAAGTTCAGGAGGACGAGGTCTTGCATGCTCAGGCCTCGTTAATCTTTCCCTGTGGGTAGCAGCCTTGCCATTTGAGCTGCTGCAATTAAAGTTAAGTGATCTGATGATTTGGATGGTGAAAAATACTCTCAGTTCTGCAGCTGGGTTACTGAGCTTGCTGTGTGGAGTGGTATCCTACTGCCAACCGTTTTGGGGGTTGTAACTGTTAACGTTAAAGCCAGGCGAGGCCTCTGAAGCAGCTGAGTCCCTGGTGCTGCTGAGACCATCCCTCAAAAGCAGAAGAGGGGTGAGCCAGGGCCTCGCTGCAGAGCACCTCAGCACAGTGGTTATGGTGGCTTTATTAAGTAAACAGACTGCCTGGCCACGACCTTTCCCTGGAGCTGCTTTGGCTCGTGCCTGGCTGTTAGTGCCCCTGTGGCCCTGGCAATGTCCCTGCCAGCCACAGTGTGACCTGTGGCCACCACCTTGTCTTTTCAGGTGACTGCTTGCAGAAGCCTCGGCTGATGAAGCCTGTCACCTGCTATCTGGAGAGGCTGTCCATCCGGCTGTACCCTTCCTTGGAGGAATTTGAGGAGGAACTGCTGGACTTGGTGAACAGCGACCGCTTGCTTCAGGTACTGCGATGGCCTTACGGCAGGGGAAGGCACCGGGCGCAAGCAGTGCTGCTGGCACTGCGCTTGCAGGTGGAGTGGAAAGGTTCAGATAAACAGTGCTTGTGTATTTGTTTTGCTTGGACCATGTTTTTTGGTTTTGTCTTGTTTGTTTCTTGTTTCTGTGCATGCCTCGTGCTTCCTTTCTCACTGGATTAGTGCATGGGTGCTCCCTTTTGGGTTTGTTTTGAACATCCAGACAATGATAAGCAGAACTTGGATTTGCTCTCCTGCGGAACATGCAAAGATCAGCTGTAGCAGTGCTCGTTGTAGCACATCTCTTTAGGAACAGCAATGCTTGGTGTGCAGTAAAGATGCTGGGCAAGTCCTCTTTTATGTGCCAGATTTGTGCTGATTCTGCTGTAATGATTAAACACTTTAGCATCTGTCATCTGCTGGCAGGGTGGGTCCTGTTCTGGTGGGTTTCTCTCAGATTACCTGAACTTCCCATCCGTGGGTGGCGCAGGGAGGGATTCTGTGCCAACTCACTGCCTGAGCTGGAAAACTTGCCCATTGCAGGCAAACGCTGCGCCGGACGGCGATGGGATGGCAGTTCGGGAGCGACGGCTGCATGTCGGCGTCCACAACGGCCTGCGCTTTGTGCAGGCGCCGCAGGTTGCTGTGCTGATGCCGGAGGCAGAGGTGACGCAGGTTGCCTCCCCAGCAGCGCCTGGCTCCAGAGCCAGGTAAGGGGAGGGAGCCCCTCTGCCGCCAGCGCCATGTGCTCCCGCTGCAGCGCTGCCCACAGCTGATTCTCCATCCCGGTGCAGCGCTGCGAGCCAAGCGCTGGTCCTGAGGAGCCGCATCCACCTGAGCGAAATGGTCCCTCACCCGGCATTTGGGGTCTGCTTCCAGCTGGAGTATGTCTTCTGCAGGTCCGGGAGAGCCGGCGGGAAGG